GTGAAATAAATGGTGGGTAAACTATAAATGTCCCCGGGCTACTCTGACCAATGTCAAGTTATAGTCCGCTCAAAACAAGGTGGAAAAAGTTGCATTTGGTAAGTGTGTTAACGTGCATTTCCCTTCACTGCATCCGCAAATAATAAAATAATCAAAGCTTTTGTAAAATGTTAAGATTTAAAGAGTTATATTGGACATCCTCGCAAACATCCCATCTTTAAAAGTGCCCTATTATGCCAATCTTGAAGTTCATATTTTTTTTGTATTTTGTTCCTCTCCTGTGACATGTCTCCATGCTTTAATGTTCAAAAAGCTCTTTATTTTTCTCATACCACATACCACACCTCATGCTGCAGCACCTCTTTTCACCCTCTGTCTGAAAACCAGAGCCCAGTCTGCTCTGATTGGTTAGCTGGCCGGCTCTGTTGTGATTGGTCAACCGCTTAGAGATGTCCCGCCCCTCAGCCTATATCACGTACAATGTGTTGGAGCGCTAGCCAATAGAAGTATGAGTGTTACACAGTGATGTCACAGAAACTGCCTCTGGATTTTAGCCTTTGCAGACCATTTACATGCACAAAAACCTATATAACACACGGCAGGAAATAGGGCCTCTTTAAAGCCAAAAATGTGTTATTTAGTTTTATTATTTTATTTTGCAAGTCGCTTAAAATTGTTAAATGACATCTGATAGAGGTTGCCTAAATATAATCACTTTAATGCGGAAAATATATAATGATACGTTTCTTTATGAAAGACAAAAGATGGGGTAGCCAAAGCATTACTTCCTGAATAACGGGGTGCATTTGCTCCACAACCTTAACTAAGCTCTATACGTATTGCTAATTGCCATCTGTGTGTGTGCAGTTGTGTTTACGCTCATTTGCAATCCTGCATTTGTCTGCACGACATGCCCCAGATAAATAAAATTAGCACATCAAAACAGACACAAAGTCTGGAGGGTCTCAGTTGTGGGTTCATGTGGTGATCCAGTCTTCATTAGTCATCTCCACGTTGGGAGGAATAAAAGCGCTCCTGGACAAAAAAAACTCCACCGATAACATAAGGCCTTTGTGGTGGGATGAAGCTAGGTAACATTCAGTTCTTAGGGTAATGATCTTAATGATGTAAACATGGCCATGTGCACACTTTGACCAATTATGCAAGTAGGTAAAAGCCTAATCTCCCGAAAATGGAAGAAAACCCCCTTCACCTTACTACAGTCCTTTTATTCTAATCCGCAATTCCTTTCAAAATGGAACAGGCAATCTAAATGGACACCTTCATTAGCATTTCATACATAAACAACAGCCTGTTGGAAAGACTGTTCAGGTGTGTTTCCTGTCCAAGTCCTCTTGTATCTGGAGAGGCTTTAATGGTACGACAGACCGCTGAATATCATCCCAGTCTTTTTCCCTTATCAATATGTGATGAGGGTTTGGAAACCAGAGCTGGACGACAATTTCCCGCCACTTCAGAGAGACGAAGGTCCCTCCCGCTGAAGGTCCTCTTCCTCCCGTGTGATTCTCTGCCTGGATTCATTAGGAAATTGCATTTATCAGAATGATCTAACGCTGATTTGTACATGCAATCACTCGCTCTCAGGGTGTTCCTCAGGGGCTATAAAACAGGCTCAGGGCGTTTTCCACTGCCACTTTTTGCTTTGTGCCACAATGAAAGATCTAATTAGTGGGGGACCCCCATCATGTGTCTTCTATTAGCTGTCCCCCTTTTAAAGAATAGCCCTGCATCCATCCCAAATAAATGGAAAGTGTCTATGTCACGCTGGGAGGGGCGCTTCTTTAGCAAAGCCGCTTGACCCTGTTTGTGCTTGACTCTAATCAGGAGCGGTCCAGAGGGTGCCATGGTGGCAATAAAACACTGAATACACCCTCTTCTTGTCTCTTGCCCTCCTCTGTGTAACCCTTTCCCAGCTCACACACACACACATGTTGCGGAGCTCCCCACAGGGGCACTAAGGAGGAGGTTATAAAGCATTATAAACCAGGTTAGCCGACAGTGACAGCCCAGCTTGTTGCTTCTTCTTTGAGCATGTCCGCGTGCTGGGCAGTCCCCGGCCTTCATCCTCAGCGCTGAATAGAACCGCGGGGCTCTGGCTCCACAGAGATAGTGTTATCTGGGTCGCCACGGGGCTCCAAGAACACACACTCTCTGCAGGGAACACACACATCAGTGGGGAGCGCAGACAAAGAAGCCTGTGGACCAACACAAACATTACGGGCATATAATGTGACCGCATTCAAGCACATGTACTCAGACAAAACAGAGACAAATGTGGAAGTTCACACACACACACACACACACACACACACACACACACACACACACACACACACACACACACACACACACACACACACACACACACACACACACACACACACACACACGCACATGTTGTGTTGGGGTACAAAGGATGCCTCTTTAGCCTTCAACTTGAGTTTGACAGTGACACTGGACACAAATGCAAAGGGCCCAACCATCTTGGAGCAAGTTAACAGACATTGTGGACATGTTGACCCTCTTTTCTGGTTGTTTTGTGTCTCTTTGCAGTGTTTCCAGAATTTCATTCTATTTGTGGGGGCACCGCACCGCACCCCCTCCCCCCCGGCAAGAAAAGCCAAAGGCCCCTTAACCTGTTCGGGTGGCCCACGCATCCAACCCCCCCCCTCAAATAAGAAAATACTTGCGAGTTCATGGCTAGTGGACAATGTTTTTGTTACTCTGTGTTGCGTTGTTAATGAGTGAGACACACCGGAGTTGAGGATCTGTGGGGTTTATTCTCCCAAAAATATAATTTACAATTTACAATTTAGGCATTTAGCAGATGCCTTATTCCAAAGCGACTCACAATGACCAATTACAGGGACATTGTCCCTGGAGTAACTGAGGGCTAAGTGCCTTACTCAAGAGCACACTAGTAGTGTTGTTCCAGGCGGGATTTGAACTCGCAACCTTCCGATCATCAGCCCACCTCACTATCCATTAGACCACCAAAAAATATATATATAATATATATATACATTTTATTTTTTTATGAGATCCATTTGTGGCGGACGATATTTATTTGTGGCGGCCCGCCACAAATAAATCAATGTATGAGAAACACTGCTTTGTGGTATTTGTTGGTCCCTTTTAAGCCATTGTGTGTCTTTTTGGCAAATTTTACCCTATTTTGTTGTAATTTCAGTCTCTGTGATTTTTTTGCACCTTTTTGAAGTTATTTTGTGTCTCTTTGCAGATGCTTTACTTCTGTTTTTAGTAACTATTGGTCTCTTTTTGGTCATCAACCCCTATTTCTAGTTGATTTGGGTCGATATGTGGCCATTTTGTGATTCTTTGTGTTTATTTTGGCCCTTTTTGAAGTTACTTTGTGTCTGTTTTCAGTTACGTTGCATCTGTTTTTGAGTAATTGCTTGTCCCTTTTTGGTTTTAAGCCCCTATTTGTAGTTGATTCAAGTCACTTTGTGGTCCTTCTGTTTCTTTGTGGTTGTGGTAAGTCTTTTTGTACTTATTTTTGCGTATGTTGTAGTTGTTTTGCTCTTTTTGTGTCTCTTTGCCATTGTTTTGGATCTTTGTGAAGTAGTTTGATGTTATCTTGTACACATTTCATTCAAGCAACATTTCGCAGCTTACGACCAATGCTCCTGACATTTCTGGCCCCTGGTCCAGTGGCCGGTTTGCCCGTTAGGTAATCCATTAACGCCTGCAGCTGTTGCAGGATCAGCTTCTCTATTAGCTGCAGTCATTTTTCTCCATGCATGGCGACCAATGGTCACACACCTTGGGCCTCGATCAGCCTGCAGTCCTGCTGTTTTTAGGAATCTGAGTTATTCCACCCATTCCTGGAGATCTCCACCCATGAGCGGTCGCTGCTGGGAGCCGCGGGCCAGAGGGACGGGGATAAGCCGCATTTCTCCCCTGTTTCATCCAGCAGTTCAATTAAAAAGAGATTTGAGGTGGAAAAGCACATTTTCATACAGGGCGTGCAAATACAATCCTGGATGTTGGTGAGATGTGGTGTGGTGGTGCGTTATGAGGGCCATTTCTAACAGCTATGAGACTTGATAGATGCAGGGTCAACTGGCTTCATTGGAGTTGACAGTGTTTGTTTTAGAATGACTAGTGCACTTATTTTAATAATTTGATCCTGAAGCACATAATCTCAGCTTTTAATCAGATTTAAAGAATGTTACTCGGTAGAAAAAAAGATTATACTTTGAACAACTGTCTATTATCTGACTGCACTATATTGTAGAGCTGTTATAACTACCCCCTGTATGTTCAAGCAGGTCTAGACTTGTCCGTGCTGATTAATGATCAACTCTGATGGACATGTTATCTCTTCATTGCACACATGGAGATTTAACTCAACACTCCTGACTACAGCTATAAAGGGGCCCTATGATGCTCATGTTCAGGTTCATATCAGTATGTAGTGTCTCTACTGTGACATGTCTCCATGCTTTAATGTTCAAAAAGCTCTTTATTTGTCTCATACTGCCTGTGCTGCAGCACCTCTTTTCACCCTCTGTCTGAAACCAGAGCCCAGTCTGCTCTGATTGGTCTTTGGTTAGCTCTGTTTTGATTGGTCAACCGCTTAGAGATGTCCCGCCCCTTAGCCTGTCACGTACAATGTGTTGGAGTGCTAACCAACAGAAGCACGAGCAGTACATCGTGATGTCACTATGTTTCGGAAGTAAACAAAGGAGTCTAATGGAGAAGTTTCAGGCAGAGGGGGGGAGTGTGTGGGAGAGAAACTCCCTCTGGAGGGAACACAGGGAGTGTTGCTTTTGTAGACCATTTACATGCATTAAAACCTATATAACACAGGAAAGGGAAAACGCCAAAAAGCCGAATAGGGCCCCTTTAAGGACTGCACTCACACACTCTTTGATATTTCTCAATGACAAGTGAACGATGCATGTTTTTGTTATTGTTCTTTCTTTAATTGACACCATTTATTGCATCAAGGCATGATTGCATTTTTAAACAGCTTAAAAAAGTACAAATTAAAATAACATGGTAGGATTAAAGAGCTCGTATCAACCTCGATCAATATGATACAAATAAGAAAATCTGGCCTTTAAGAGTTTATGTATCTGCTCATCATCGAGTTATTATATTCTCAAACACATTTCAATTTCAGATTTGTGAAAACAAACCATAGAGATACACCAAAGAAATCAATAAGGACCGATCCATCACCCAGTGACAGAAAACAGATGTTTTTCTTATGAAACAACACAGATCACCATAAACTGCATATTCCTCATCAACAAATTTGGCGAAATATGATCAACAAATGCCTAGTTTTGTATATATTTGGAAAGAAAAACAGTAATATAAGCGACAAATTAAAAATGCCCATTGACTTATTGCAGCGTTGAGTTCATTGTTAACAGACAAACTGATATGGATAATTACAGCAAATGCATCACTTTCATTATGGTCAGTAAACTTTTAGGAAACATTTTAATAAAAAATTAAACTAAACAACCAGGAAATAAAAGCGGTCTTGCTTTCCTAAAACTGCTGCCTATCAAAGTGCATAATGTTCGATTTTCATGACAAGAAGGCGTTTAATTTTCCGGTCAAATGGCAAATATTCCTGCCTAGCTTCATGCGATAAACTTTAGTGAATATATATTAAATCGACTATACAACAATGTCATAAATGACTAATCTCAGACTATGAGTTTAAAGTCTCCATCCTGATCTAATGAATGATGAATGGCTGATTTCGCTGCATGTTAGTAAAAAAATGTTAAATGCTAATGTAGCAAAAGTAGAGTCCTGCACGTTTTCTCAGTCCAGTGCTTTTTCGTGAAGAGTGCTTTAAAGGAGGGTCGGGTTTTTCTTCACTTTGCTTCTGTCATCATCTCAACAAAAAACAAAGAGACAAATTGCTGCAGTTCAGCACTCATTTCCACGCATGCTTTTATCACCAGCTGTCCGACATTTAGGCCGCTATAGTTCCAGAAAATCCAAGTTGATGCAGTGTAGTGATTTTTTCGTAATTCTGAAAAAAGCGTTTGCTGCCATTCATCCAAAAGAGTGGGAACGACAATCCTTCGCAGTCCACATGAAACTTTCATTTGGTTTATAAAAGTTTCTCTGTTCATTGTGCGTGATATATCAGTGTGGTGTCATGTTACGCACGGCTGTCAATCACCCGACACCCTTAGGGAGAGATGAGAGTGTATGCTGGGAAATAATCCTTAATCAGATCTAGGGCTGCAACTACAGATCCTTTTCATTATTAATATCTGCTGATTAAATGTCTAGATGCATTTTTTTTTATTGTTTTTGAAAAAGTCCAAGGTATTATCTTCAAAAGTCTTGTTTTGCAGGTCAAAAACCCAAAGATATTGACTTGAAGGTATTATAAAACAAAGCAAAACATCTCCATATTTGAGAGACGGAAACAGCATTTTATGCAATTTTTGCATTAAAAATGACTTTAACAATGAATCAATTGTCAGCAAAAAGTCTTATCACTACAGCTCGAGTCTGATCTTGTGTCAAGGGAATCTCAACTAGATGAACTGGTTAACTAGTTTCATGTTAATGTTCAAGATATGTTTGACAATATCAGGTTTTGTAGGTCATTATTAGAAAACAAAATGACAGATGTATTGCAGAATGATTGAGCCGTAGTTCTTATCCTCTTCACCGTTCGACCAGTAATCAGACATGTTCAGGTCATTGGATGTAGATCATTAGGAGTCAATGAGGTTTTGGGGGTCAAAGGTCACAGATAGGCCTCCACTCGCTCCCATGGCTGCATCTCTGAGAAGAAACCCTCGCACAGCCCGAAGCCCTGATCCAGAGTCAGAGGAATCGCCTGCTCCTCTTCCTTAATGCTCTCCCAGGGCACCACCTCCTCTGGGAACAGCGTCGATGTCTCATCGAACTGCTGCAGGTGTTGATGATGATGCATCAGCTGATCCTGGTCTGGATGAAGCTGCTGCGGCACGTGGATCTCCCCGATACTGCAGTCCAGGGACGCCCCGCTCATATCCAAGTACCCGTAGGGTTGGTGGTGGTTCAGGTACTGGTTCCCTAAGATGTCCCCTCCGTTGCACCACCTCCCCGGATGCTGCCTCCCCTGCAGGGAAACCTCCATCTCGCAACCCAAGGCGCTCAGTGCCGTGTTGATGTCCAAATCCTCGAAGGTGCTACAGTTCCCGCCGAGGACGTCGTCGAACACGGATGCCAGGTCGAAGTCGCCCCTCAGGATGTCCGCTTTGTGAGCGTCCGTCGCTAAAAGAGGAGACTCCGTCGCCCTCATCAGCTTGTCGCTCTTCGCTGGTAAGTGCTTCCGTTTCCCGCCTTGGTAAGGGCAGACGTTTTGGACGCTGTGATAACTCAGTTTGCTCTGTCTGTGGGAGCCACTATTATTGTTGTAGCTGTTAGCAGACATCCTCCTGCGTTTGAAGATGCCGTTGACGAACATGTCTGCGTACTGCGGGTCGATCTGCCAGAAGCCCCCTTTCCCCGGCTCGTCTTTCTGCCTCGGGACCTTCTTGAAACACTTGTTGAGGGACAGGTTGTGCCGGATGGAGTTCTGGGACAAAGGAAACAAAATTAGGAATGCAGAATATTGATTTGTTTTCAGGATGGCACTGAATAAACTGAAACATTGACTGTAATTGAATGCATTATGTCAACAGATTAGGTTGGTTGAAAGCAATAATATAAGTTTAAATAAAAACGTTTTAGGTTCAACCTAATATTATTGCCATGCAGGTATTTCAAGAGGTGGATTTGTGTTCAATGTGCAAAACTAGGGGGGTTTGCAGGACGGACAATATAAAAAGCTTTGAATTATCGGCCGTTTAAATTCATCCTTTAAAAAGAATACATTCGTAAGTGGCTTTGAGCAGATCTGTCACGCACAAACTGAACCTGTCAGATTGTCTTTGTGAGGTAAATGAGAATAGAGAAAGGTGAGTGTGTGTGTGTGTGTGTGTGGGGGGGGGGGGTTGTATTGTTGTTTGTATGGGAAAGCAAATGTACCTAATGAGGCTTTCTAGAAACAGGCAGCTCTGTGCATTTCAAACATGATCAGCTGTGCTTAGCTGCCATCTCTCTCAGGAGCCCTCATTAACACACACACACACGCACACACACACACACAGTGCTTTCTCCACCCCATCACCGTTCCCCTCAGACAAAAACCCTATGAGCGCTCTCCTCTCTTGGAAGATGGAAATTTCTCTTGCATTAAGGATTACTTGTCATTGAAATTATCAAAGGGCCCAAATTAGACCCTTATCTTGTGAAGTAGAAAAAAAGAGGGGGACATGCTGGAGGATTTAAAACGCACACTGCATCTGCTGGTTTTTGTTTCCCCACAAAAGAAAGGCATTGTCTGATGTGGGAGAGGTACATATCTTATACTTAAGAAAAAATAGAAGTACCAGAGTGTAGGAATACTCAGTTACAAGGAAAGGTCCTGTATTCAAAATGTTACTCAATTAAAAGTAGAAAGGTATTGGCATCAAAATATACTTAAAGTACCAAAATGTAAAGTAGTCATTGTGTCCAGAATAATATATATGATATGTTTTATAATGATTGATCATTAAAGTGTTCTCAAAGCTGGTAAAGGTGCAGCTAGTTTGAATGACTTTGTATACTGCAGGGTAGCTTGTGAATTTACTCCAGGTGGAACTACAGTCTGATTTAACACTTGATTATATTTCACATTCATCCACATCTGAGAGGTAACTAATGATGTCGAATAAATGTAGTGGAGTGAAGTACACTATTTAGTGGAGTTTAAGCAAAAAATTGAAATACTCAAGTAAAATACTTCAAAATTGCACTAGTACAAGTAGTTATTTTACACTACTGCCTGCAGCATGTGTGATGGTGGGGATCTATGCTCACCCTCCTCTCCCTCACCTCGCCATTTGTCTGACTCATCAATAATACAAGAGTCTCGGTTACCTGCCAGCTGGGCTCTGCGTGTCTGTAGTAGCAGAAATTCTCCGTGATCCAGTTGTAGATGGTGGACAGAGTCACTTTGGGCTGTTTGCTGGCCTGCATCGCCATGCAGATGAGGGACGCGTAGGAGTAAGGAGGTTTGACTTTAGGGTTGGTTTTGTAGTCGACCTCCGCAGGCGGGCTGGCCTGGATGGGGATCTGCGCGTAACCGTGTCCTGGATGTACGCAGTCTATGAAGCGCGGTCCCGAGTCGCTGCCGGAGGTCACGGGGCTGCCGAGGTACAGAGGCATCCCGGTGGAGGCAGTGTCCCCGGCGGGGGGGCTGGACGGAGAGTCGGTGCCTCCTCTGGGGAGCCGCTTGAGGAAAAGGTCCGAGGACGGGCAGCCCGTTCCGGATCCGTTGGGCCGCTCCGGGTCCGCGTTGATGATGGAGAAATTCTGCAGCCAGTGGAGGCTGGTGAGGCTGTCATCCATGGGGACTGAGTCCGACCCGGTGGCCTGGTCCTCCGGGAACACCGCCAGCCATTTCTCCTGGAACTTGTTGGCGATATCGGGGCTTGTCAGAACCGGCATCCTGTCTGTTTTACGCACGGTGACCAGAAGATCTTCAAATTGGCATTTAAAGTTCTCTTGAAGTGAATGAAAAAAAAAAAAAAAGTAATTGAACGAATCTAAATAGACCTTGCACTCAAATCACCATAAATAAAATAGGTCAAAAATATTCCAAGAGAGCAAGACATTAATCCCAAGAAATTGCCAAATGGTGCGTAATGTCCTTACCTCCTGTCATGCAGCCTTTCAGGAGGAGACTCTCTTGTGCACCTGTTGCAGTGCTTCCTCTCCTCTCCTCTCCTCTCCAAAGACTCAACGCATCCAGTGTCTGCGCAACAAGTGCAGAGGGGGAGGGCTAATATCATCCAGCAGCAGCAGCAGCAGCTCATATGGAGGAAAAGCAAGAAAAGCTCCTCTCAGGACAGATCCATGCCCACTGTTTCTCATCCAAACGCCCGGCTCTGTGTGAGTGTCTGTGGGAGGTCAAGACGTGAGAATGTATGGAGGAGGTTGTAAGATAAGTCTCATAAAGCCCGAGAGACTGCCCACCAGCCCTTTAAACGCCTGAGGGGATTTCTGATTGGCTGGAGATTTGCTTCAGCAGCTCTCTCTCTCTCTGTCAATCTATTCATTACTCACACACACACACACACACACACACACACACACACACACACACACACACACACACACACACACACACAAAAGGGCATTCAAATACATATGGAATGAGTGGTTCTCTGCAGTAAGAACAGTCAGTTTCGCTGGTTTTAATCGTTGTTTTCTTCCCGGAAGTAGGCTGAAATATGACCTCCGTGGCGCACGTCGGCCCCCCCCCCCCCCCCTCTCCCCCCCCCACAGGCGCGCCACAAGTCCCGCTTGGAGCGCACTTTTGCACCTGCAAGGAGAACAGACCACTTTAACTGATAAGCCTGTATTTACCATGCCTTTTCACAGTGTGTGATTGTTGTTTCTTTTCAACCGTGAAAGGGCACATGTTGATTGGTTATTTGGAAATGTCAGTTTTGCACAATTGACTTTAATCTTCTAGTTAGGCCTACATTTGCACTTCTGTGGATTTAAAAAAAGAAATGTACAACTTTTAGAGAGTCAAGTGGATCAATACTGTTTCCTCGAGGCTGTAATATAGACATCTGTTGATTTATAATCCAATAAATTGATTAAATAATGGAAATATCAGAAGAGATTGGAGACCAATATTAAGCAGCATGTGTGTGCAAGCTGTCATAAGAAATGTCCGCCATACACCACATGAGAATACTGTGTATCACTATTTGCCTTGAATTAGAGTGCAAATGAGCTCAGCATTTCATTCAGAACAACTGGTGATTATATTTTAAATGTCCTTTTTAACTATTTTTTTATCAGGACCATCTTCGGTGGCCTTTTTAGCTAATGTAATGTGTGATGTAATCAAATTTGAAACAATAAATACAAGTAAAAAGTGGTTTTCATTCACAATACATTTGAACATATATTTGATATACACCAACACGATCTAAATCTAATTGTAGGCTATTATTGACTGGACATGTGGAATGAATGGCAGAGGCAATGTGAATTATAATGAAACACTGCCACCTAGTGGATTAATGCAGCATTGCAGCTACACCACCAATAGAGGCACTCGTCAATTTGCGTAACACCCAGCATGGAAACTGAATGTGAGAAAAATGTTCTACATTATGTTCTCTCTTTATGTAGGGTACACTTAGACTGCATGTCGATGGGAACCAGTGTTCAGAATATACATCATGTTCTTCATATAAGGCACATGTGTCAAACTCAAGGCCCGGGGGCCAAATCAGGCCCTTGGTGGATTTAATTTCGGCCCGCAGGATAATTTTTAATTACTGTTAGATCTGGCCCGCCGGTATATTGCACGCACACCTTCACTCAATCCTGAGGGTTTCCTCAGCTCAGAGCCTGACCCCAAACATTGATGAACTTGCACCCAAGATGAGATGCCAAGTATCTGGCTTGAACTAGCATCACAGAGCAGCACACTGAGTTTCAATGGATGTTTCCTTCTGCACTTTTTCTCTCACGACAACAGGGCATGTTTGGTTTTTTCTTTGAGGGAAATAGTTTTGTTGAAGCTGTTGTTGGCCTGTGGGAAAATGTAATCATAAGAAATGACTCTGGAAAAGCTGCAGATAGAGCCATAAGAAATGAATGCAACTGATTATTTAATGTTTAATGTTGTTTTTATAGGCAATAATTTAAGCTTTGTTAGTTCCAGGTTTAATATGTGCAATAAGTTCATTTTAATAAGTTTTGCAATAAACATTGAACCAGTCCGGCCCTCGACTAGTACCCATTTTTTTATTTTGGCCCACTGTGTATTTGAGTTTGACATCCCTGATATAAGGGATGCACTGGCAATTCATGTCTTGAAAGCCTCATATTCCTCAGTTTGCTCTGTTTATGGCCAAACAGGGAATGCAACAAACTATTTTAGTCGAAAATATGTAATATTATATTTAAGTAACTTTTTTATAACCAGATGTATCATACTTTATTTGTTATTCTATTAGTGATTTGCAGTGGGGTAAAGTAACTAAGTACATTTACTCAAGTTGTACTTAAGTACAATTTTGATTTACTTGTTCTTTACTTGAGGATTTCAATTCTTTCCACTCTTCTTCAACCTGAGGATATTAACAAAGTGCCAACCCTCTGTCATCCTCTCCAAACAGATTTTGTCAACATGTCTGCTGGGGTTAAAGATTTGGAGAGTGGATGCTGATGAGGAATGGCATTCAGGATTCAGGATCAGGATGGATGACAGCGACAAAGCAGCGACACTTGAAGAACCAATCAGGCCAGCTGCTGCATCCTGTCGAGGAGGAGGAATGGTTTTAAAAATGTCTCCAGGTTTGTTCAGGTTCTTGACAAAGGGTTAGCCGGTGAGGTGGGTAAATGTTTGATCAGCTGGTCTTATTGTGGCCAGGCTCCCCCCGTCCTTCAGCAGCAACTAGGCACACATACAGTTAGCTATACAGTTACACTATGTATTTACCGGTTAATGGTACAGTTAACCTTTGGATTCAGAAAAACCTGATATAGGGCCTAGTCATTGAATTTGGGTTAGACATGCCGGACATTTGTCATTAACATGTGCAGAGATTAAAGGTCTTAAATATTGCTTTTGTTACTTAAAACATGTTATTTTCCCAACATTTAGTTTGACTTTGCCTCATAAGAGCTTCAATTTAGACTTTCTTGCCAAGAGTTAGACGAAAAATGCAATACCAAATAAATTTGAGTTAACAATATGAACGCGAGTACTCGACAGTACTGATTTTGAATAATCACAATTTCTCTGAAGACTACATTTAGATGATTAACTTAATGAATAACTTAGCAAAGCCTAGAAGACTACCCTAACATTAATATTGAAACCAATTTGAATACTAGCCTTTTCAGAAAATATGAATTGGCAAAATGATGTAGACATTTCAAATTGAATCACATTTTTATTAAAGGTTTTCTGTTTTTGTAATTCCTCTTTCTTCTCCCTACATTTAGTTATTTGTTGTACAATTTATTTGTATTACTAAGAACTTGACTTACCGCTATTCTTAATTAAAAAAAAAGATAAACAGATAAACTGGAACATGTGAACTCCATTTATTTAATGTTTCATACAAATGAATGTACAGACATCTTCTCATCTAACTCTCAGCAGGAAAGGGAATACATGTATTTTCAAAAATGTCAAAGTTATTCTTTTTAAAATGTGCCCCCAAACAATGTTTTTCAGGGTTGTGGAGAACCTGCATTTCATTGCAAAACGTTCTTCCAACTTGAGGCTCACAGGTTAATGTTATACATTTTAGTTACATAACTATAAACAGCCTGAACCTGGTCTTCAAAAGAAAATGCAACTTAAGGTTATGGACACATTATCTTTAAAAGCTTAATTTGTGTCTTTTTTCCCAGTTTGATCTGGTTTTAAAGCTCTTCCAATGGGTAAGTGATAGTAAGTGCCCATACTGACACAACAAGAACTGTAGGTATCATAAAACTGAAGATTCTTATCAAGAATCAGCCAATCATAATTCACACTGGAGAGTACGTTTGTATTGACAGACGTCCAAGTTTCGGTTTGAACATGACTTTATTACTCTGGATGTCAATGACCCAACTTCCTCCACTGTTACAGTCAAGTCTGTTTTCTATGTCCCTCCTTCCACCAGCAGATGTCCTTATTTCGCTGTTTCCTCCATGCTCTCTCACTACAGCTGCTACAAGCATGCCATTGATGTAATAATGTTTACAGTTCACACTTACCCACAATTCTCAGCGGTGTGTATTGATATCAGAGGGCTCATTTTACACAAAACCTGCACTACAACTGCTGCTTTGAAAGCAAGACTGCATTCATTGATTGTCTATTGTCAAATATAATAAGCCGACCAAAGGGGTGTATTTAAGAAATGCACAATTTATGTGTAACTCTTATATTTTGTTGTCTTATTTTGTTTGATACAAATGCATTCTCCTCGTTTCATTATTTACGCTAGTTTTTGCCATTTTAAATAATAAATGGCCCTTTTTTTGCTTAACGATTCATTATTATAAGCTCATATATTTATACTGAGAGAGTGATTAAATCGATAAAATGACATTCTGGATGAAGCTTGGTGTTTATAAGTACCATTTACCTTTATTACAACACTGTTTCAAACCACACATGTGATCTACTGTAGCTTCTTGTACAAACATGATCGAAAATGCAAATGCGATTACAAAAAAGGAGAAATGGGGGATGCAAAATGTTGTAATAATGCCGCAGTCTGCGCTGATGTGTGCAGATAAACACTGCGGCAAAGATCACACACACACACACACACACACACACACACACACACACACACACACACACACACACACATGCACACTGTGGTCTATAAGCAGAAATGCGCAGACACGATGCTTCTGAATAGCACCCTGACTGTCCCTATTTTAACTCGGAGCGATGTAATTGGCGATGGTGGGTTTGTTTACCATATTTGGCGAGGTAGTGACACAGCGCGCCTGGGAATTGGACGAGAGCGGCCGTCATTCACAAAAAGTCTGCCTTCTGGAGCTTTACAAACAAAGCGAGGGCTCACGGGAGTTGTAGTCCAAAACAAACCGTGCCTCAGACTGCTCGAGTGGGAATGTCCCTCCTCTGCGGTGACTTGAACGCCACATATGATGTATTATATAAAATGTGTTTACTATGATTCACTTTCTGATGGATTGATGATTTACGTATTTGAGATTATTATTTCTACTGGCTGCTACTTCTTAGTTAGACCATCTATTACTGTGTCACAATAATCTGTGTGATTTAATTGTAGGCCTACTATTTTTATCTAACACACTACATTCTACATGTTACACGTATTTAATTTGTTAAATACTGCAGCTCCTAACTTAACCTGAAAGTGGACTTCTGTACATGTTAATAATTGTTATTTTTGAAATTATGTGCATTATCTTTATCTAATAGTGTTTCACCTTTACAAGCTTTGATAAAACTTGAATGCAGCAATAATTATAATCAAACATATAATATATATTTTTATGAAATGGGCCCATCTGTACTCAGGCCTACATTTGGTACATTAAGTATATTTTGATGCCAATACTTTTGTACTTTTACTCGAGAACAAATTTGATTGCAGGTATTTTACCTGTGGGCTGTGGTAGAGTATTCCTACAATTAGATATTTCGACTTTTATCCAAGTACAAGATCTGAGTACTTTTTCCACCTCTGTCTGGGACGAATAAAGGAATTCTGATTCTGACGCCGGTCCTGATCCCCTCTGCCTAAAAGACTACAGATCCCACAGGGCGACGCTCTTTTCTGATTGGCTGTACCCATCTGTCAATCACGCATTTCTTTCCCTTCCACTACCGCTCCTACAGTAAATATTTGTGTTTGCTCAACCGGCTGTAATGGTAGAGGACTGAGGCAGTAGAAACGGAATACAACTAGAGTGAAGCAAGAGAGAAGGAACATACAGACAACGGTTTGAAAGTCTGTAGCACACGGACACGGGCTTTTCGTCGAAACATGGATGAACTCAAACATCAAGTCATGATTAACCAGTTCGTCCTGACGGCGGGTTGTGCGGCAGACCAAGCGAAGCAGCTTTTACAGGCGGCACATTGGCAGTTTGAGGTAAAAAAGGGGAAAGAAAACACAGAAAAAAAGGCTTTAAAAACATTAGCAAACGACGGGGTAACAATAGCAACACGGCCGTTAGTTTGAACCGACCGTTAGTTCCAACTGCTAACCAACAGACACTTTTCCAGGCTGTGTTATTTCAACACAAAACAAAGCATTTAGTGTCCTTTTTCGACCCACTTTTTTTATTTAAAGTGTGCTTTAGGTAGATTTAAGCAGCAAGGAACACACAGTACTACAGTAAGCATACAGCTACCATATCCAATTAGACTTTACTCTAGATTAAATACTATAATCCGACACATGACAGCCGTGCACACAGGCGAGGCCAGCGAGCTCTTACGCAATACATTCTGTAGTATATTTGTATTAAATTATGTAGCCTAGGGAAATTGTATTTTGTGTAGAGCATTCAAATGTTTTCAGTATTGTCTTTATATGTGTTATATGTGTGTTATTCAGATACTCAACTGTCTTTTCTATTGTGAATTTGTATTTAGTTGCTGTTAATGTTATTTATGTATGTCTATCTATCTAATGATAATCGTCGTGTTGTATCGACCAGCCTGCAAAACAGTGCATAATTGTTTAGTCTGCAGTGAAGCGAATATAGATTTATCTGCATATATCCTCGCTGCAAGCTCTGTGTATTTTTTATTTACATCGACACAGAGATAAGTAATGTCTGTTCAATGCACTTAAAACCTACAAATAACCGCCTAAAATTTACTTCATCTCTTTTGTCATTATAGACTGCCCTCAGTGTCTTTTTTCAAGAAACAAATATTCCATACGGCCATCATCATATGGTGAGTGATCATATACATTGTTCTGTCTGTTTATGTAATTACAGCAAATCCCAATGTCAAGCTAGTGATGTTTTGGGTGGGATGGGGGAGGAGAACCAGCCCCTATAGGCCAACAGGGATGATGTTGTACTAACAATAACAAAGCACATGTCGGCCATGTTGTGAGCTTCCAGAAATAAACACACAGGCAGGCAGCAGAGAGAGAATACAGTGTGAGTGTGTGTGTGTGTGTGTGTGTGTGTGCCAGAATAAAAGGGAAGGAGAAACATAGATAAAGATGTAAGGAAATCTCCTATTTTGTTGCATTGTATCAACTGAGGGGCCAAAAGGAAGGAAGCCCCCCTCAGTTTCTGGTCAGGACAGAAAAAAAAAATGTCTCCTTCCAGAAAGAGGACAGCTGCCTCTCACAAATAGATCCCCTTGCAGTTGCATTTGCCTTGAGTTATCCGGCTGATTGGGTTATTGCTGCCTTCGACACCACCTCATATATCAGGGACTTTTAAGGGAAGACAAAACAGAGAGAGTCTGTGCACATTCACACACAGGGGCTGGGCATTATGAAACATTAGCAGTATTTGGGCTTTTTAGCAGCCTTTGTTTGCAGCTGCATGCATCGCAGCATCCAGCAACAGCTGCCCAAGCGTGACATAGAGGTGGGGGGTGGGGGGGGGTTTCTGGACTGCAACTGTAGATCATTTTAAGCTCTGTTTGTGTGTGCGTTTAGCCATCAAACTGCTAAGGTGAGGGAGATGGTGGATAATAGGGGATGTGATCTTTATCGCATTGTGTGAGAGTGTGTGTGCATTTATAGCCTCCGAGGTGTGCAATATCGCCAGTCAGCAATAGGAACGGCTCACCCTGAGCTGGATCATTATTATAGCAGCTTTATTATACCAAAGACAGCCAGTCCTCCTTTATTACCTGATCAGTAAATAATAGCATCTCAGCGCTCTATTTAGCTCATGAAACGTCTCACTTTAATTTAGAGAGTAAACAATCTGCCAAGAGCTGTTCCGATTTGTGTGATAAGTAGGGCTGAGCTTGATTGCTGCAGACACTGGATAATGAAAGTCAGAAAGAGTCGTGTGTGTGTGTGTGTGTGTGTGTGTGTGTGTGTGTGTGTGTGTGTGTGTGTGTGTGTGTGTGTGTGTGTGTGTGTGTGTGTGTGTGTGTGTGTGTGTGTGTGTGGTGTGTGTGTGTGTGTGTGTGTGTGTGTGTGTGTGTGTGTGTGTGTGTGTGTGTGTGTGTGTGTGTGTGTGTGTGTGTGTGTGTGTGTGTGTGTGTGTGTGTGTGTGTGTGTGTGTGTGTGTGTGTGTGTGTGTGTGTGTCTGTCTACAGTAGGGCCGCGGGTCCAACCTTCCTGCAGCTTATCAGGCCGCAGTTCGTGGGTATACAGATCTAATCCACTTTGCTCTACCTCCCTATCTCTGGATTTGGTTTAGAGTACACACAGACAACATTAGGTTACATTTCGGGTTGCGGCAATGTTTTGCGTTGCGACACACAAACTGAACTCATCCTTGACATTGCTATTTTGGCTAGAAGCCTCGCCCAAACCCCAACGGCCCGCGCTCAGCTCTTGGCAGCACGGCGGGTTAGGACGTCATGTAGGTCAGCTAGTTTATGGATACTGTTCAATGAGCTGCTTTATGCTATTGTTTTGAGGCCTAGCATTATATGAAGCTGTCACTTTCCCATGTAACATCCTGGAAACAAAAGCACTGTTGTTTAGAGAATTTGTAGGAAAGCATTGAAGTTGTTAGCCATCATGACTGATTTTGTTTACCTGCGCTTCACTAATGCATCATTTGTGCATTGTATTCCAGAGGTTTACACCCTGTATCAAATATCAAATAGTGAGGTGAGCTCGCTTACTCATCAGTAAAGTCTTGTATAATGCAGTGGTGGGCGGAGGATTTAAATAAAGCCCTTGTCATTATTATTTCCTTTTAGCGCTCCCAGACCCATGGGAGTGCCTGTGCTTTGGCACACGATGTAACAGAGCTACAGTCTCTGCACAGACACGCATTAAGACTCTTTTTGTTGTTGCATACACGTGTAAAGTATGTCTGTTTCAGTCACATATGATGGATTTCGGACAGATTCTTTATTCATTATCTGTGTTTTGAATAACAACTATCCAAAAAACGCTATTTGCACAATGCTAGTATTACCAGGGGAGCTCATTTGATTTAGAAAGAACTCGAAGTGTGTTTTTTTGCTCATTCACAAGGGATAAACACATTTTATTTTACATATTTATTTAGTTTTCTTCTTTTTTTCAGATCCCTTCAGCAGTGCAGAATATAATATTATAACATATATTATATTAATGAATTATAAATTAAAGTTTTCACAGCATTTGAGTGCAAACTCAGTCACTGTGACTGATTTGCACTGCAATAAAGTAAATATGATATTGTTATTTTGAATAAAAGCAAATACCTAGCCTTGACTATATATCTGGGGGGTGTCAATACATCTGAGTAAAGTAGAGACTAATATTTATATTGTGTATTGTATATTTAGCGCCCCTGAATTTGCAAGAATGTAGTCAAAACTTAATTTATAAATCTATTATAATCTAATATATTCTATACTGGGAATGAGGCAGAAAACATTTCTGAAGAAAACCAAAAACCCATATTAAATTATTTTAGTTTATTCACGTGGGATTTTTTTAAGGACATGACAGATTTGCACGGGATTATGATGACAGGCGACCTGCTGCCATTGTCACAAATGACTAGAGGACCCTAGTTTGTTCTGGTCCCGTGCGAATAGGGCTAAAGGCTTACATCTTCAGTTTGTTACATGATGGACACATGAGCTCAATCCAACCTGCTCTGGTGTTTTTTCTTTTTTGCAACCTCTCCCATCTACTCCCAGTTTTCTCCTCTGCACACACCCTGCCTTTACTAACGCTGCAACCGCGCCACATTCCTACGGGATGCAAAGCTCACACGGACCCAAAATGGACCCTTTCACAGCACAGTAACTAAAACACAACAGCAGATCAGCATGTTCACTCGCACTCTGAATGCACAAGTTGTGTTTGTGTGGCTCCTGGCGGTTTGATGCTCATCCTACTTAGTAAATATTATGCACATATTCTTGCACCCCTGATTTTTTGTTTTCATGCATATTCTAGGAATGTGCCAAGTAGGGCTGCAACCACTACATATTTTCTTTATTTATAAATCTGCAGATTATTTTCTAGATTTACCCTTTAGACATATGGGGTGTTTCTCAATCGCGAGTAAAGCTGCTTCCGAGCCACTATTTCAAGCATACTACGTCATCGAGTGCCGCCGAAGTACTGTTCCAATCTCCAGTATACTTGGAAATCTACCGAGCCCGGCGTACTCCATTTGGAGAAATATCGAGTGTGCACATGAGTAGACTCCGCGGTCTTAAAATCCCCACAATGCTTTGCGCACGGACCAATTTCCCCAAATCTGTGGCGGAAGATGTAAGGCGGGGCCTCTCATATGACGCACACCTGCACACTTGCTAGAGTGTTCCACACTTCGTTTTCCGAATGCCAGGAAGTATTCTTGACTCGCTTCTGAAGCAAGATGCTCGGCAGACATGTGCTACCAAGCAAGCGTACTCGCGATTGAGAAACACCCCCGGTCTATGAAATATGAGATAATAGTGAAAAATGTCCATTCCAGTTCTGCATAGTCCAAGAAAATCTCTTTAAATGTCTTGTTTTGTAGGTCGAAAATCTTAGTGTTCAGTGTTATATAATTGAACACAGAGAAAAGCAGGATATATCCATATTTGAGAGGCTGTTTTTAAATGGAAATTGGGAATTTGTATCTAATGTTAAGCTATTTTAAAATGAATCACCTGTATAAAGTCAGAGCTATTGCTGATACTTCTAACGCGATTGCAACGTCAGTTTCAAAAAAGCTATTCCTCATTGTCAAAATGATTGGTCATTTGTAAGCAAAATGCCCCAAAATGGCTGCTTGTGTGCAAGGGAAAGATTTGATTCTCCATCGATGCACATGAGCAACTAATGGAAATGTAATCATGACCTCTGGACAGTTAACTCCGTCTATCTTTGAGTATATGTCTCATTGAATTTGGAAGGAAAAACACTGACACAAAACATCAATATCAGCGTTTCCATGATTAACACTCTGTGTGGGGGATGTACAGCCACTATAAAGTGAATGAATCATCATGTGAGGAGGAAGTAGCCTCGCTGGATGACTTCCACTACTGTCTGGAAACATGTGACCCCATCATGTGACAGGGGAACGACGGAGCTAAGCCACAAAGCCCACTTCATGTGTCATTTCTCCAGGAGTTATGGCCGTTTGAATAAAGCAGGTCCTCATGCGGCAGCCCTGCAGTAAAGTCAGCAGTGTGGTGTGATGTTAAAGTATGTTGTCTTTTAGTAGGTCAGGATAGTAGAAATCATCTGCTCAAATATTTCACATCCTCTCATATCTGCGCTCGTACAGTTGATCCCCTTCCTGTTCTCTCGTTGATATGCTGTTATCGCTGTCGAAGAAAAAAGAGACTGCAAGATGTTTTGTTTATTGCGGGGGAAAAACACTTTGCAAACTGCACTCTGAAAGCGTCAATTATTTGTGTTAGAAATAACATACTTTCATTTTGTTTTAATTTAACAAGCAATGTATTGTATTTTAAGCAGTATCGCAGCTGATGACACTTCAAAGGGGCCCTTTACGCTTTTTGGGTTTTATAGGTTTTAGTGCATGTAAATGGTCTGCAGAGGCTTACATCCCTGTGTTAGGGAGTTTCTCTTCCACACACCCCTTGAAACGCCTCCATTGGACTCCTTTTGTTAACTTCCTTAACATAGTGACATCACTATAGAACACTCGCTCTTCGATTGGCTTTTGCTCCAACACATTGCACGTGATAGGCTAAGGGGCGGGACATCTCTAAGCTGTTGACCAATCACCGGCCGGCTTACCAAATCTGAGCATTGCAGCCTTTTTTCTTTCTTAGCACTCTTG